ACTTCTTTTTTTTGTCGCCTCCTACGACTCGCAGGGTCACGGCGGAAGTTTTCGACCCCGCCTCCACACGGGTTACATTTACATTTGTTCTAGAAACCTCCCTACATAACCACGGCAGGGAAAACATTGAAAAAAAAAACTTCTATAAGTGTAGAGATGTGTTACAAGGCAACTGCCTAGCAAAGAATCTCTCCGCATATTGTTATAGCAGTGTGTTTACAGTTCTGTTGTCTAGCATTTGGCTAGGCACGGACCTCATTGAAAACATTTCTTCTATTGTCAGAATTGTTGTGTTGCCTAGCAACTAGCTGTAGCATGGTTCACAGGGAACATAACTCATATTGTTGTGTACTGCTGGAACGTGTAGATCGTATACTGAGGCGCTGCCTAGCAATGGTCATATTCGTCACAATATGGAATTGTCTTCTCTGTATGAGTTTGACATGTCCTGCCAATCTCAATCCTTGATTCGATCACCCTAATAACACTTTAATATTGTGACGTGTTGCGCTATGGATGACGCTCCTCCCTCCCCGCCAGCCGTGACGTGCCGAGCGGAGCCGATGTGAGCCGAGTCCCAGCATGCTGGTCGCTATGCAAAGAGAGTAAACACCGGTTGCTAAGCAAAGCGAGTAAATAGCGGTTGCTAGACAAAGCGAGTAAACAGCGGTGACGTAACACGAGACGCCGCAGTTGCTACGTAGCCGTAAACAAGTTAAATTGTAACATTCTCTTCCTGTTGCTTAAACCCTTCAGGTTCGAGACCCTTTGCAATAAATAATCAAATTAATAAACTAATACTGTGATAGCAGAACCCGAAATTTCGACACCACAACAATATTTCTACGTTATCATTGTCTCCCCCAGCTAAACGGATATACCTACTGACCTTGTTAATTTTACTGTTCTCTTAATATCAGACGGCCTGTACAATACACAAATTAACTCGTTATGTATGTTTTATAACAAACAGTACAATTCAGCGAGAGTTGTTTGCTTTGAGGCTTACTTACTCATAGAGCTGAGCCCTTTTGAGGAGCAGCCAAATCCGCAGCTACTCAAGAATTTCCCAGCATTTTATAGATCCCGGAAGTTCACTACCATGTTCACAAAAGGCCTCTACTTGTTTCAATCCTGAGCCAGACCAATCTAATCCCTAACATTCCTTCCTATCTCTCTAAGATCCATTTTAATATTGTTCACCCACCTAAGCCTTGGTCTTTCAAGTGGGCTCTTTCCTTCTGGCTTTCCCACCAATATTCTATATGCATTCAGGCCTCAAACCTTTAAATTCCTAAATAAGACTTCGTCCTTGTCATTAAAAATCCAGTGGTATACATTCTGATTACAGGTTCACTCTTTACTTATTGGTTGATGTTTTAGATGCATTTACAGACTCGAATACTCAATCGGTATAGCAACTAGGCTGCGGGGTTAGGATACTTACTGGAGTATGAGATTTTTCTTCTCACCACAGCATCACCCAGCCTTCTATACAGTCGGCACCAAGGCCGTTTACCCAGTTCTGAAGCCACAGGGACATGGAGCTCACCACTTACCTCCACATGGCGTCGAACATAAGTGTAGTGGCGCTATATATCTATTCGCTCATGTGTCTTTACAGCTTTGTACTTAATTAAGTGTAAGTTTACTTCGTCTCTAATGTTTTAACATTTCTCAAGACAGCAGTAGCAATTCTCACGACCGGCAGCCTAGTGATAACAGGAATTCGTAAAAGTAAGGTCGTAGAGTACGCACAGGGTATAGCAAGACTTATGCAACTTGCATTACTGAAGAGTAGAAGAAGTTGCCGATAGTACACGGCGAACGAAACTACTGCATCAAGAGATCTACGCAGGATGTAATAAGATGACAAATTGTGGGCACGGGTTCAACATACTAAAGCAAGAAAAATGTCCATAACAAAATGCGTGCGGAAGTATTTAATTTGTGAGTTACAGGTGGAAGAATGCATGATTGTGCTCCGGCATATTTTAGCCGTGCTCTGCTAGGTGTTGTCAATTGTACCTATTATGACCGATGGATAGGTAGAAGAGGACACACTGCATGGCCTCCATGTTAGTCAGATTTTGATCCTCTGCGTTCTCACCTGTGGGGACACCTAAAATCCCCTGTGTATGCAGTTCCTGTTGACAACGAGGAGGCACTTCACCGTCGCACTGTGGATGCCTGTCAGACTATTCGCAACTTCTTTGAAAGGAGGCGGCGGTCCATGATGAGACGTGTCGAAGCGTGTATTGAATCTCATGCAAGACATTTTGAGCATTTGTTATAAATGCACTCTTTCAGCTATAATTTATTATTTCCCGACACAAGTTGATATGACATTTTTTTTATATGTGGAATTTGTGTCCAAAATGTTTACGTACATTTGTGTTTCACCCCGTACGTTAGACACAAAGCACTTATTTCTTCGCAGTACCTTGACACAAGTACCTGCACACCGATTCGTTATAAATTCAGTTCAACGCCTCTCACGTTGTTCGCACTTCCTAACATTCTTCCGGCAGAACATAAAACCTACCATCAATCTTACATAAGCTTTGTGTGTGTTTTTTACTCAAAGTACATGACGTAAATGCAAATGAGAGAGCCTGTCATATGCCAGCCAGGAAGTTCATCGCCATAAATATTTGGCACATTTCGATTAAATTTAATATCGAGAATATATATGAAAAGATAAAATTGGGGAAATTAATGTGCAAGTATAACACGTATCTTCATACTCAATGAAAACTGTGTCACAAGTAATGGATACTCTCATATGTATTATGCGCTAGGGTATTTCAGGAGCGAGATGAAGAACCTTAAAGATGAAATGCAAAAATATGTCCATAATTACGTAATATTTTTTGAAGAAAGATATTGCAGTACATATACCCGTACGTCTACCCCAATCAAAAAGATAATATCTCTTCTTCTCATTACGAAATATATGGGGTTGTCCATGTGTCTAAACACTACACTCTGGAGGCACACGTGGTGAGTGAGGTAAACTTCCACGCATTCTAGAACCCAACACTATATATGGCAACCTTCATGGTTTGCGTTCAGTAACACCAGTACACACTGGATAAGATAACAATGGGACCCACAGGTTTGACTGGAAGTGGAAGCGAGGAGAAACATCTCTACTTTACAGGAAATCAAGCCAGGACCGCTTAGCCTTAGCCGGTCATTTTATCTATTATTCGTCCAAGTTATTATTAGTATTATTGCTATTATCCTTTTTCGACACACAATGGCAATACAATTGGAAATGTACTCTTTTTACTTTTCTCACATATTATTGATAACTTTTTATTTTTCATGGAATTATTATTAATTTATTACTATTATATATACTCTCTTATTTTTTATTTTGTTAGTTATTTTGCGTCTTTCTACGTATTCGTGCTAATTTTTATTTGACATCTCAGCTCTTTAAGTTTGCACGTAAATAAACAAGAATTGAATTATTATTATTATGCTTATTATTTTAACTATTGCTGTTATTGCTAACATTGCACAATAAACTAAATAAGACTCAATGGGGTAATCTTGATATTGCTGCAAGGAGCGAGAAGTTTTTTTCAATTATGTTCAGAAAAGACAGGAGTTATTCAAGGACAGCAGCCTCGAACAGATTCAGTGCATCCTGAGTGAGGTTATTACTCAGTTTTACCCGGTCTCTTCAAGTTAATTTTGGGGGCAATTCATTAAGAAAAGTCAGTACTGTGTCTTTCTAAATTTCAGCTCACGATACATAATATTTTAATCTCATTTGACTTCATTGGAGCTCGGAAGTTAAAATGGCATTATTGCAAAATTACAGAATTAACATCATCAACAGGTACAAAATAAGAATTTATATTAGAGAGAAATTTTAAATATATAATTCAGGTTGCAATGATATCCCAGAAACAAAATATTTCACTGCGAAAACCATTTATTTCTCACCAGCAGGACACCACGCGCCCGCTGTTACCGTCGTCATTGGGGAAAAAATTGTAGAGAAATACCTGAGGAATGGAAATATAATTAAAATTGTCGGAAAGAGATCTTCAGTTCCAGAAATTAATTACAAGTAGTTTAAAATAAATAACCTTTTTAGTGATTTATCTATATCGGTCGAAGTTCTAAAACTTTTAATGGCACTTCAAAGGATAAATGAAAACAATACCCGATCTTTGTAACACTTAATTCATAAAAGAATTTGTGATATTATAGTGTGAACGCTGCTATTACTTCAATTAATAATAATATTACTAGTACTGCAAACACCACCACCATCGCCACTACTAATGGGTTTGGAGGTACTAGCTGAAATATATATGCTGTTAAAATTATAGAAATTTGGCACCCGTGATTGTGTTATACCATTTGTTTGACGTCACGATATACTTCCCCGAAAAGAGTCCAGTATCAAAACCACTGGAACAGTGCGACAACGCACATATATACAGGCTTAGTCCTGCTTTCTTGCGTCACATGGCACTATTCTCATCACTTAACTTCCATCAGTTTGTGTTTCTGAAGACACTAAAATGTTTCGTACAGAATTGTAGTGTATATACGTATTCCTGCTAGGTTAACGACCAATCAAATGGTTGTCAGAAACTTCCTCGGCACTTTCATTGATATTTTTGGCAATGAGAACTCAGTGACTTAACGAACGCAGAACACGAAATTGCTTTCTGTTACTCATTACAATGAATGATAACAGGGCGGGCAAGGGGTGAAGAAGTTCGAAAGCTGTGGACAATTGCCGTTCGGTACTTGAATTGCAATGAGGTGTCAAAAGCGAGTAAGTGCTCCCCTGGGGAGCTGCAGTTTATTGCAGCGCTCTGCTCCTTGAGCGTGTAGAGCCGGTCCGAGGGTTAGGTTGCGGTATTGATTGGTTGGGTCGTGTCTGTTAGGGGCGGTGCTTGCAGCAGGGATGCAAGACAGAGAAGGAGATGCCGTCTCCCGCCGCCACAGTGAGTCAGTGTGCAGGAGGAGCAAGCTTAGAGCAGTCACACACCATGACGCCTGCAGACGCTACCCACTAGTCATCGGGTGTTTGGAGCGTCAATTATGGCTGCGGCGGAAAAGGAAGTTGGTGCGGGCGTTGAATCGGGAGAGCAAGGGTTGCTTCAGACGACCCCGTTCCGTTTCCTTCAAAGGTCTTTTAAAGACCCCGCCTTCGAGAAACTTTATCAGTCCTATAGCGTGAAACAGAAGCGTGCTGGTCTCGAGGTGTTCCTGTACGCTGCTATTCTGTATGATGTGTATATGTTGTTGGTGCCAGGTGGACAAGATGCCCTCATGCGTGGACTCACCATCGCTTTTCTTGGCCTCAATCTCGGGCTGTTGGCTTGGTGCTGCCGCGGGATCCAACACTGTTCAGCGTGGGCTGCTGTGCCTCATATCGCTTGGCATCTCGCCAACTCTCAGCTACTGGCACACCTGTTCCTCAAGAAAAACGAGGTGACTGGCAGGGATTCTCTGGGCTGGGTCTTGCTGCTGGACTACCTGCTCTTTGTGACGCTGCCCCTGAGGCTACGCTACTGTGTTGTGCTTAGTGTGGGCACATGTGCCTCATACCTCGTGGCTATAGTGGGACTCGGCAAGTCCGACACCCATCTTCTCCAACAGGTAGGAAGTCCCACTTTATATCTTGAGTGACGAGCATTCTCAGTAAGTCCATAGTTGCGTGAGGATAACCAGCAATATATAACATATAATTCAATCTTGTGAAAAACATCCTTAATTTGTCACAGTGTTGAAAATCCAACGATACGACTAAATTCTTTGCAATGTACAATGTAGCTGCAAGCATTTGCATTCTCCTTGCATTATTATTATTATTTATGTACGTTATACAGTACGTATTGTAATTTCAATTTGTATTTATTTAATAAGTTTATCCACATTACAATTTAAATCCTTGAATTATTGGTTAAGTTTGATATGTTTAATTTTACCGTAAATATTACTTATATTAAATTATGCATATGTATAATAGATCATAAGGGGGGAGAAGAGGAATGTATATAGGATATTGGTGGGAAAACCGGAAGGAAAGAGAATACTGGGAAGACCAAGGCGTAGGTGGGTGGACAATATTAAAATGGATCTTAGAGAGAGAGGATGGGATAGTATGGATTGGTTTGATCTCGCTCAGGATGTGGCCTAAGGGAGGGCTCTTGTGAACACGGTAATAAAACTTCTGTTTCCATAAAATTCTGGGAAATAACAGCTCATGATTCTCCGCTCAGCTTTATAACGTGCTTGTTTCTATACTTTTATCTGTAAACACCAAGAACGAAAACTACATTCAGTGAGGTGTCAGTGATTTTTCTCAGCTCCTACAGAAAAAATTCAGGGTATTGCTTCATTACGCAACGACTGCTTTCTCCCAATCCTTTCCAATTCATCGTTCATCCTATCATCCCATGGCATATAATTTCGATTTTGAAAACACAGTTAAAATGCCCACTAGTGGAACGAAAACAGCTGTTTGGGTCACATCACAAATGCTAAGAAGATAAATTTAAGGTAGAATATGAAATATCTCCTGTTTATAAACACGTGGCGAGGGTATTTTCGTCTTCTGGTCAAGGCTGCAGAAAAATAATTTTGCCAGCGTTTATTTTTCCAGTGGCTCCGGTTTAGAAAGAGGTTAATGTCGTGTCAAAGTAAATGTACTAAAAGCTAAAATTAAATCAAGCATCTAAAATCTTATGACAGTTCGTCTAGCTTGAGGGAGAAGACTGAAGCATATTTTTTGCCTCCGTTAATTAAATGCTAAAAAATTTAAAGTGTATTAATACACATCGATAAATACAAGTTTTAATTAATCCCTAACATATGTTTTACTTCAACGAAAAAAAATGATCATATGAAACATGTCTTAAAATGCAGATTTAAAATAACTACGTTGATTTGTTAGCGTCACGAGGTAGCGTAGTTGTTTGAGGCGCAGTGTTACAAGCTGGAAGGTGGCGGGTTCGCATCCCGATAAGTTCATTGGATTTTTCAATGGACGTAATCTTTCCAGCCGCTTATGTACCTGGGGTCGACTCAGTCTCTAGCATAAATGAGCACCAGGAATATTCCCGAGGTTACAGGACCACCGCGGCGCTTAAGGCTGACAATCTTAACACCATCTATTAGTGGATTGTATAGAAAATGTGGAATCCTCGACGTCTCACAATCCTATGGCCCTCCACGGCCTGTTTTACCTTTACATTGACTTGTTGAAAACAAAGTGCCTGCCTATTAAACTCGAGAAAAGAGACGCCGAGCATTCCTTGTATTAATCAGCAACAATAGTCACTACTCACGTTGTCATACAAAGATTACTTCCGCCCCATTTAATTTTCTAAATTTTATGATAACGTTAATATTATCTGTGATATTGATTCTCCTCTCGGGTCTTAGCGCTGTATGGATAGGGTTGTTGACGTTTAGAAGGTAAATGCTTCCATCATCTTCAGGGTGAGTATGTATATATAAATATTAGTTCAACAAGCAAGATGGAGAAGGGTAAGACTTGTTCTTGATCCTGGTCAATACGAACAGTTGACAGGGATATGTTATCAAAACGACACTCATGATTTACTTGAATTTTGACAAGCAAGACTTGGTGTCGGTATTTCGGAAAATGTCGCTGCAGATGGCGAGACATTTCGTAAACGTTCTCCCGATTCTGTGAAAACATTTTATAGCTTACTGTAAATTCAGAGAAGTTGTAAATCTATTTTGATCGCTGATGTCACCGTAAGGTCTAGCTATAACAATATGTAGTAATATGCTTTTTCTTGGCCGGCAAACCTGGGGGAGTCGTGTAAATTTAATTAACATTTTAGATGGGGTGCAGTAACATACATTTTCAGAAGTCTCCGAGTCACCCAGAGCGACTCTGGGCTGCATCCAAACTAATACCTAATGGGTACCGGGAGCATCTTCCCCGGGTGTAAAGCGACTGGGGCGTGAAGCTGACCACTCAACTCCAACTAGTACCGAGGACAAGAAAATGTGAATCTATCCACTCCCCCATAAGCCGTCATGGCGTAGTGCTTAATAAGCACAGGAGCAAATTTACCTTTATATTATATTAGGTTATGAGAAGGATGAGACCAAAGCAATAACTGAAATGTGTTCAGTCGGTGTAAAGAACGAATTCTATTAATTTTCGTGCAATATAAAGGAGAAAATCCAATGCGAAGAATCGCGAGTTTTATAGAACAATGCAAAGTTCCCATGAATGGGAGAAACTGATTAGAGGAACATACTCGTATAATGGGTCTCATTTTTTTGTCACTAATGAAAACAATAGCTGAAATTTAACGGGAAATATTTCTTTCTTATCTCCATCTAATACATTAATCCTCTTAAAACAATGAATTAATCAAGAGTTTTGAATATTGAGCTGCTATTTGTGTAAGTGTGTAATGTCACGTGTAGGAGGGTACGCGTGACGAAATGACGGGTTCCAGTTCGGATGATTGGATTTATTAGCACCTTGGTTAAAGTCTCTCTTGATCACAAGTATTTACAGCGCTATCGCTGATTTACACACTTTAATTTCACCATTGCACACGCACTAGGACTTTCCGTCTTAACTAGTCGTCTCCTGTGCAACGGATCTCAACACAGAAACTAGAACACTCTCACAGAGTCACACACCCCAAATATTACACATAAATGAAGTCTTCAAATCACACGCAACGTCATTACACGACCGACTGTCCGTGACTCTCTGCTAACAAGATGTCACTTGAACGGAACTGCACGTAAAAATGTAACCTATTAAAGTCAAAGTCAAAGTCACGTTGAGACTGACCGTCAGTCAGTCAGTAAGTCTTGATGTCGAGCCCCAGCATGATATTTACTACTGTTTGACAGTTACGGTCATGTTTCCGTGGTTGCCCTCTCTGAGAAGAGGACGGGTCTGTCTTCTGTATATGCTGCTAGCTCTAGCCAGCGCAGTTTTTCTCGGGTCTGAGTCCCTTGGGGCTCACGACGATATTGTCACGTATTGGGCGTATATCGCGACAAATAACTTCACGCCGTATTTGATATAGCGAATTTTATTTACATTCGCACTTACAATCACCCAAATTACATATTCACAATTACTGCTATCTGCAGTATCACAAATACTACACTCCAAATGCCAGAATACAACTGACTGGTTGCTGGCTAACTCGGAACTAACTAGGAACTAACTCGGAGGTAGCTCGAGGACTGACTGTGAATAGCCTTCGCTGCGCCTCATGTAGCCTCGATCGGACAATACAGAAAACGGCCACGTAATAAGCACCCTTGTTGCCTGGCGCTGTGTTGCTAGTAACGCTAGCGGTAGTAACCGCTGTTACCACCGTCGTCTCTCGCAATCCTGTTTACCCGTGCTGCCCTTGGTGACGTCATCGCTGTTGACTCGCTTTGCATAGCGACCAGGATGCTAGGAGTCGGCTAACTTCGGCTCACTTCGGCTTCGCTCGGCGCATCACGGCTGGCGGGGGTGGGGGAGGGGCGTCATCCATAGCTCAACATGTCACAATATTTTACTGTCTCATAATTCTGACTTACCTTTTCGTCGCCTCCTACGACTCGCAGGGTCACGGTGGAGGTATTCGACCCAGCTTCCACACGGGGGTGTAACCTGTTACATTTATAACTGTCGTTATATAGCCTCCTCACCGACCAAGCAGAAAATACAGCCTCTATTGTTGAAACATGTTTCCCGCACGATTGCATATCAAAGGTCGCGAAACGGAGCCGAGAGGAAGCCAGTCACATGATAGCTACCCCGCCAGTTCATTGGCGCGTTGACGGTCGCATAACAACGGCGCGATAAACATTGTCCTATTGGTGTAAAGCGCTCAACTGAAGGGTATTTAGGGGTCGTTGCCTAGAAACGCTCTGGCCATCCATATTACAGTACAAGCTACTATGGCATGAGAACTACATAACATATTGACAAATATAACACACATATATACTCATAAGTTATCTCCTACTACACACACACACACACACACACACACGGACTCACACAGATACACATAGAATACACAGACACGGGTGTGCAAACACACACACAGATACATACACATGTACAGATACACACAGACACACACGCACACAGATACACACAGATATACACAAACACACAGACACATACGGACACACATAGAATACACAGACACGGGTGTGCAAACACAGACACACAGATATATACGCATGTACAGATACACACAGACACACACGCACACAGACACACGCACAGATACACATAGAATACACAGACACAGAGGTGCACACACACACAGACAGATACATACACATGTACAGATACACACAGACACACACGCACACAGATACACACAGATATACACAAACACACAGACACATACGGACACACAGATACACAGAGACACAGACACTCACACAGATACAGACAGACAGACACACACACACACATACATATATACACACACGTATATTGACGTCGTCATGCTTGGAGGAGGCAAGATTAAACCACAGAGTACTCATTTGAGTGGAATATTATTAAAATCTATCAGAGAATATTTAATCTTTCAATTGACAAAATTAATAAAAATAATTTCCATTCCTGAAGAATGTTT